TACATCCATAGGTGTAGGTCAAGTTCATCAAATTGTATCAGATTACTTTTTTTTCCTCTTCTTTTTTTCTAGTTGCACTCTGATCATCCAGTCATTGAAGCTAGATCAAGTGGGTATTATCTGCAAGTGTGGGTGTTCTTGTGCATATGCCCTTTCTTCTTATCAGCTGGACACTTCACTCTCCACTCCAGTCCTCCATGGCTATGTCACTGACTCTGGGCCCAAGAGTCCCCAGGTCTTACTACACTGCTGGCTAACCAGGTCTCCACCCGGATTCACAGGAGTCTATTGAACATTGTACGGCTTAGCTCATTACTTTATTGCTGTTTTTCCCTCACTTCCCCTTATCGGTGATGAACGTGATCACCAATCAGAGCATGTATTCCCATTGAGTCTTAGTCTTGGAAGGGGGTTTACTCTGAGGGGACCCGACCCCTTGCCTTGAGTCTCCTGGGCGAGCATCTTGCTTGTTCTCATAGTAATCAGTCGGTCTGCCTCTATTGTTTTGTGTATTTTCCCTGTAGGTCTTTCTTTCAAGAAGTATCTTCTGTTCTTCTAGCCACTCCAGGCTGGTCTGCCCATGCTTTCAAGAGGACATTTCCCACCTCTAAAGATTCTGAATGCTGTTCAGGATTCCACCTATAGTCTTATGTAATGCAGAGGCTCCGCAGGTAGCCTCCTTCACTGGGCATGTTGTAGCCCCATTTTAAGTATTCCAATCAGTTATAGGCAGAAGATGGATTTACAAGCTTTCTATGGTGATATTTCTGGCTATTTCTTTCTCTCCCCTTCCACTGTCTATTTTATAATGTAATACAAGGAAAACCAAGATTCAAAAGACAGGCAAGCATCTTAACATTATTTCCCCCCCTCCGCATTCCAACCATGTCTCAATCTCTGTATCCCAGAGCCCTGTTGTTCCAAGGTTGTGTATACATCATTATTTACCTCTGTCCCACTTAGCCCATTCAAACCTGCCTACTTGTTCTCCTATCCGCTTTGTTCTTCCATTCCCCTCTCCCTTTTTGTATATTGCCCCCCTCCCCAGCATCCAAACTATCCTGTGTCTATTCGCTATACCCTGTGCTTCACTTTTCCATCCTTCCCCTCACCCCATCCCCCACATCCCAGCAACGGGCAAAGAGTTCCCCCTACCCCCCTTTAGTATGGGTTCTTTTTCTTAGTCTTTTACAGTAGTGGTCCTATGCAGTATTTCTC